CATATAACAAGATGCTCTTGAAAATATAAGCCCCAATAAAATACCATTACATACATATCATATTGACCAAAAATTTCAAGTCTGACAATATTAAATGGTAGCCAGGATGTGAAGCAAAGTAAACTGTCTGTCATACACTGCTGATGGGAGTATATTTTGAAATAGTTTGACAGTATCCACCAGAGCTGAAGTTAATCACAATCTAGAACCCAGTAATTGTACACCTCAATATATACCCAACAAAACACACGATGTGTACACCAAGATACTTGAATAAGAATGCTCCTATTAGTCATGGACATTCAATGGGGAAATGACAGCCTCTTCAACATCTGTTGCTGGCAAAACTGGACAGCTACATGTAAGAGAATGAAACTGGACCATTGTCTACCCCCATACACAAAAGTAAATTCGAAATGGATCAGACCTGAATGTAAGTCATGAAACCATAAAACTCTTAGGAAAAATCATAGGCAAAAATCTCTTGGACATAAACATGAGTGACTTCTTCATGAACTTATCTCCCTGGGCAAGGGAAACAAAAGCAAAAATGAACAAGTGGGACTACATCAAACTGAAAAGCTTCTGTACAGCAAAGGACACCATCAACAGAACAAATAGGCAGCCTACAGTATGGGAGAATATATTCATAAATGACAGATCCGATAAAGGGTTGACATCCAAAATATATAAAGAGCTCATGCACCTCAACAAAAAAGCAAATAATCCAATTAAAAAATGGGCACAGGAGCTGAACAGACAGTTCTCCAAAGAAGAAATTCAGATGGCTAACAGACACATGAAAAGATGCTCCACATTGCTAGTCATCAGAGAAATGCAAATTTAAAGCACAAAGAGATATCACCTCACACAAGTAAGGATCGCTACCATCCAAAAGACAAACAACAACACATGTTGGCGAGGTTGTGAAGAAAGGGGAACCCTCCTACACTGTTGGTGGGAATGTAAATTAGTTCAACCATTGTGGAAAGCACAATGGAGGTTCCTCAAAAAGCTCAAAATAGAAATACCATTAGACCCAGGAATTGCACTTCTAGGAATTTACCCTAAGAATAACAGCAGCCCAGATTGAAAAACACACATGCACCCCTATGTTTATCGCAGCACTATTTACAATAGCCAAGAAATGGAAGCAACCTAAGTGTCCATCAGTAGATGAATGGATAAAGAAGATGTGGTACATATACACAATGTAATATTATTCAGCCATAAGAAGAAAACAAATTGTACCATTTGCAACAACATGCATGGAGGTAGAGGGCATTATGCTCAGTGAAATAAGCCTGGCAGAGAAAGACAAGTACCAAATGATTTCACTCATATGTGTTCCCCACACCACCTCATAGAACTTCTCACTTACAGAGGATTTCAAACGCTAACCCCCTGCCGAATCCTAACCCTTCAAACATCCCTCATTGAAGATCCCTCTCTTACCTTTGCAACCTGCCCCCCTCACAATCTAGCCAACCTTCTATCTGCACAACACCCATCCCCTTACACTCCCCATTCTTGTACGCAACACCTAAGCAAGTGAGTCCCTCACCCCGCACATCTGCAGGAGGGAGCCCTCCCTCAAGCCCATTACACCTGGTTCACGGACGGGAGCTCTTTTATCCATAACCATACCCGCATTGCAGGATATGCAGTAGTATCTCTCACTGAAGTTACTGAGGCCCAAACCCTTCCTTCCAACACCACTAACCAGCAAGCCGAACTTATTGCTATAATTAGAGCCTTTACTCTTGCCAGTAATTCTTCTCTTACAATCTACACTGACTCCAAGTATGCCTTCCATATTCTTCTCTTCCATGCTGCCATCTGGAAAGGGAGGGGCCTCCTTACCACAAAAGGGACCTCAATCACAAACCACCCTCACATCATCACACTTCTCAAAGCATCACAGCTCCCAAAAGCTATAGGCCTAGTCCATTGCAAAGCACACCAAACAGACCAATCCACCATCTCTGGGTAATAACCAAGCTGATGAAGCAACAAAAAAGGCAATCCTAATATCAGCAAAACTCCTCTTCACCACTCCCAAAAATACCCCTCTTCAACCCCTACACCTCAATCCCTTTTGACCTATTTACATGCACACATGCTTCAGTAGTATGTGAAACCTTTCATCCCCCTCTCACCAAACGATATCAAATTCCTACAGCATCTCGCCTCATCCTGTGAATTTGCCAAAAAACCAGTCCGAATACCTTATCTCACAAACCCACTTTTCCCTCCCACCAAGCCTGAGGGCATCTGCCAGGCTCCAATTGGCAAATTGATTTTACTCACATGCCCTCAATAGAAAACACAAATACCTCCTAGTCCTAGTAGACACATTTACCAGCTGGGTTGAGGCCTTCCCCACTACCAGCAAGAAAGCCTCTACTGCCTCCAAACTCCTCCTCAGTGATATCATCCCTCATTTCGGCATTCCCACATTCATACAATCAGATAATAGCCCAGAATTCGTATTCAAAATTACCCAATCCCTAGTCCTATCACTTGGCATTCCCTGGCATTTCTACATCGCATATCACTCCCAGTCCTCAAGAAAAGTAGAAAGAACGAACAGGACTCTAAACAGTATACTCACCAAACTATCCCTCGAACTTCACCTAGACTGGATTCACCTCCTTCCTCTCACACTCTTGAGATTATGTAGCTTACCAAAAAAACCCACCCTCCTATCTCCCTTCCAGCTCCTATACATAAGGCCAGTCTTCCTCCAGGAATCCTTCCAGCCCCCCTCAACTGCCCCCCGCCTACATGACACCTCTTCTCCAACTTATAAGAAACCTCCTTTGCTCTCATGCCAACTTTCTCACTCCTGCCCCAGTGCAGCATTCCATGAACACCTATCACATAGGCGACAGAGTTTTTATCACCTCTCCTCATAAAAAACATAACCCCCTAACCCCCAAATGGCAGGGCTCCTACCAAGCCATACTCACAACCCCCACAGCAGTAAAGTTAGCCAGCTTTCCGTACTGGCTCCATAACTCTCGTGTCAAACCTTACCACTCCTCTCCTCCCCACTCTCATCCCACAGACCATCATTCAATGACCTCTACTGGACCGTTGACCCTCAAACCCAAGAAGATCCGCTCCACTCCTCTTGCACCCATCGCCGAAGAATAAACACTCTCGTGCCTCCTCCTATCCTGAAAGAAAGATGCCATCTCGCCTAACCTCATCCCTCCTTCTTGCTCTTCTCATTCACACATCCCTCCCAAAAGACTGTACTTCCCCCACTGGCCAGTACACCTTTGAAGTCTGGAAACTTCACAATGGAGAAAAAATTAAACTCCTAAATTCCTCCTCATGTCCTCTCAAACTTCCCATCTATATCCCTAACCTTTAATGCCCTCAAAACCTGCGTAGACCATAGCTGTCCTCTTTCTGCCCACAACGTCTTTGCCAAGTATCTCTGCTTTGCATAAGACCAAGACTCTGCCTTCTTCAAAAGTGATCCCAACGGGTGGGTGGGGTGCCCCTCGTGGAGCTGTAAATAGCACTACTCCTACCCCACTGTAAAACAAACCTGAGCCTGGGGAATAAATTCCACCCGCCTGTTATCATCTAATAATCAACCCAATGTCACCTTCACCATTAACAACTCCACATCCTGGCACTCAGACTGAATCTCAGCAGTAGGCCTCCACAACGTCAATCCCCCCGACCGGAGAGGGAAAATTATCATCACAAAAACCCTGCAGCACTCCCACACAGACACCGAGTCTGATTAGTCGGGGCGAGCCTCATCACAGCTATGACAGCTGCTGGGCTACCATCAGGGAGTCTATCCCACTCATTATTATCCTCCCACCGTTTCACTCAAGACCTCTTCGACCTCACCAACAAGCTAGCAACTACTGTAGAAGTCACTGCTCAATCCATTCAGTCTCCAACTCCAACTTTCCTCTCTAGCAGAAGTTACCCTACAGAATAGGAGGGCCTTAGATCTCCTAACTGCGGAAAAAGACGGAACATGCCTCTTCTTACAAGAAGAGTGCTGCTACTATGTTAACCAATCAGGTAAAATTGAATACAATATCTAGCGGCTAACTAACCTCTCAAAAGAACTCCTTAATAAGAGAAGAAATCCCAATAGCAGCCCGAGATGGCCCTTTCCTGACCATTTTCTAAATCTTCTCTCACCTCTTCTCTCACCCCTACTAGCTGTTTGTGCCCTACTCCTACTAGCCCCCTGCTTCCTCAACTGCCTCCGAGCCTTACTCCTTACTCAAATCTCTAAAATCACCAATCAAACCATCAACCAAATGCTGACCCAAGACTACGAACGGTTAAAGACTCAAGAAGACCAGATGCACAGAGACTCAGACACGGGCGCCACCTCCAATTGCTGAGAGACCTTCGAGTGCAGACTTACACACCATCCCTCCTCTTCCCTTTTCTTTTTTTCCATGCCAACAGAGAACTTTACACCAGCAGAGAACCTCCGTCCTAAACTCGCAAGAAGCAGCTAAGAAAAGACGATTGTCGACCATTTTTCCCAGTACCAATACTCCCACTCAGAATACCATAAACAAAAAGTGGGAATGTAATGAGAACACCCACATCCGAGAGCCACCTGCCAAGAAAAACAGCCCCAACGAACTTGTTTCCATTTCCCTGTAAGGCAACGCTTCTCAGAAAACACCTGACCTACTTCCTCTCCTCAAGAGAGTATATAGGCCAGGGAGCCCCCACGCTAGCTGCTGCTCTCATTTCAGCTCTGAGGCAGCCACTTTTGTCTTTGCAGATAATAAACCCTGTTGTGAGCCCTGTGTCTGCTGTCTCTTTTCTGCGCCACCTCGGGGGTCGCGGGAAAAGCCTTTTACGGGGATTTCAGGAGACCAGGGAAGGAAGGAGGTCAGCGGCGGTGACCAGCACCGCTCCTCTCCGAGTTCGAAACTCCAATACAACCATCCCCGCCCGTTGCGCGATGGGGGAAGGAGCACTGCCACCCCTCTCCCAACCTCCCAGCACAGGTGAGAGCGTAGTTGACGCCCCGGCCCGCGCCCGCCTCCAACCTGGACACTCCCAGTTCTTTATCCACTCGACGGGCAGCACGACAGCAGCAGCCACCATCTTCCCGGGACTAGTAGCAGCAGAAGCCCGGATTTGTAGCAAGGGAGAGAAGGGTCAAAGGTAAGCACCGTCCACGTGGAATGCCGGGAGCACAGAAATCGGTTTTCGGTGTCCCGTACCACTATCCTCCCCACCCGCGGAATTCTGAGGCCCAACCGCCAGCGCGGAGGCTGAGATGTGTGGGTTTCCACGCGGACTGCGCCGGCCGCGTCTTCCGCTACCCTTGCCGTCACTTCCGCTTAGAGCAGGGAAAGTGCAGTCCGCTGATTGACTTGTAGCCCTTACCTTCTCTCCTAGCGTCTGCTGCATGCCACTAATTGAAACATGTAATTTTCAAGCCCCTAATAATATGGGACAGACACTGGGGATAGACAAGCAATAAGCAGTGATGACTACCCTCAACAAGCTCACAGTCTGTGGGAAAGACATACAGGCAGATAATTACAATACACATTGCTTACTGCTTACATAAAAGAAATGAATTGGGTAAGAAACTGCCATTCACTGTGTGCCAGGCATTATGCTAATACAAGGCATACAATCTAGGGGGAAGACAGAAATTGGCCTTGGGAAATTATTCATGTTTCATTCATTCATTCATTCATTCATTATCTACTTATCTATCTTTCTGTCATTAAAATACAATTAGATGAGTAACCTATTGTTTACTTGACTGCCCCATCACAAAGATGACCAAAGATACCCCATTGCACTCACTGTCCACGAGCATAGTAAGATACTGTAGAAACACTACTTGTCTTCTCTGTGTTGTACAGCCCTTCCTGTGACCCCCCTCCCACATTATACATGCTAATCGTAATTCATGCTTTCTTTCCCTCTCCCCTTATCCCTCCATTCCCAACTATCCCCCCCAGTTGCTTTCCCTTTGGTAACTGTTAGTCCATTCTTGGGTTCTGTGAATCTGGTACTGTTTTGCTCCTTTAGATTGTCTTGGTTCTCCTTCTCCAGAGGCTAGTGAAATCATTTGATACTTGTATTTCTCCACCTGGATTATTTCACTGAGCATAATACCCTCTAGCTCCTTCCATGTTTTTGAAAATGGTAGGATTTGTTTTCTTCATCTGACAGAATGATATTGCACTGTTCATCTTCTGATGGACACTTAGCTTGGCTATTGTAAATAGTGCTGTGTTAAACATAGGGGTGCACATGTCTTTTATATACTGGGCTGCTGCATTCTATTATTTATTTTTTATGTATGTATGTATGTATTCATTTATGTACTTATTTATTCTTTATTTATCATTAGTCTACAACTACATGAGTAACATTATGTTTACTAGACTCCCCCCATCACCAATTTACCAAAGGGTAAGGGACTAAGAAGACTGGTTGAGAAGGGAGGGAGAAGGGTGGACAGGGGTCGTTACGATTAGCTCACATAATGTGTGGGGAGGTCCCACAGGAAAGTCAGTATAGTACAGAGAGTTCAAGTAGTGATTCTATAGCATCTTGCTACGCTGATGGACAGTGACTATAATGGGGTATGTGGGGGGGGGGGACACTTGATGATCTGGGCAGTCTAGTAACCATAATCTTGCTCATATAATTGTATATTGGTTATAGTGAATAGTGCTGTGATAACATAGGGATGCACGTGTCTTTTTTATACTGGGCTGCTGCTTTCTTTCTTTATGTATGTAAGTATGTATGAATTTTTTATTTATTTATGCATTCCTTAATTTATGTATCTATCTATCTATCTACCTACCTGTCTACTTTGCTGTCATTAATATACAACTACATGAGTAACATTATATTTACTAGACTCCCCCCATCACCAATTTTGCAAAGGTAAGCGACTAGGAAGGCTGGTGGGGAAGGGAGGGAGAAGGGTGGAATGGGGGCATTAAGATTAGCTCACATAATGTGGGAGGGGTTCCACGGGGAAGTCAGTGTAGTACAGAGAAGTCAAGTAGTGATTCTGTGGCATACGCTGATGGACAGTCACTGTAATGGGGTATGTGGTGCAGGGAGACTTGATGATCTGAGGAGTCTACTAAACATAATGTTGCTCATATAATTGTTGATTAATGATACTGTAAAAAATCCCCGCATATTCCTTACTAGATAACGATGAGACCCAGGAAAAAAAAAGATCGGAGAGGCGAGGTTTCCAGCAGCGTGAGCCGGCGGCATGCGTACCGCCGCTCCCAGCAAAAGCTGCTGCGCTCCGCAGGGCTTCCCCGGCCTCCCACATCAGGCAGCGCGCGCGGTGACCCCGGGGTCATTTTCCCAAGGCGCCTGCGCGGCGGCCCCGCCGGCCCTCGGCCCGAGCGCGCACTCGCTCCCTCCCGCCCTCGGTACCCTGAGGCCGCAAGGCTGCCGAACCGTCGCCCCCGGGGCGTGCCTCCAGGGCGTCCTCGGGGAACCTCCGGGCCGGGGACCAGCGTGTGCGGGCGGCTGGGGCTGCTGGGATGAGCGAGGCGGGCGCGGGCGCGGGCTCGGGAGGCGCTCGAGGGTAGGCCTCCTGCCCGGCTTCGCCCAGACGAACGCTCCTCCCGCGAACCGCCCGCCTTCACCGCCTCCGCAGCCGCCGCCAAAGTTCCCTGAAGGCGTTCGACGGGCGGAAGGGTACAGCCAGCGGGGAGGCCCTGCGAGAGCGGCCGCTGACAGCTCCCCGCGCCCGGCGCGCCCACCCCTCGCCGCCACCTGGCTCCGCCCCGGGGCGCCCTCGGCCCCGCCCATGCCCACCGCCGGAGCGGCGCGCCTGCAATTGTAAGTTTTTAAGTGCTGCTAGATGATTCTAAAATGAATAGCTTTATAATTGAGATATATTGACAGATTGCATTGTGTTAGTTTTAGGTGTACTACATAATGATTTGATATATGTGTTATACATTGTGAAATGATTACAGCAGTAAGTTTAGTGAACATCCATCACTATTTGTAATTAGGATTCTTTCCTTCTTGGGATGAGAACTTTTAATATCCCTTCATTCCCAACTGTCCACCACAGTCCCTTTCCATTTGCTAACTGTGATAAACATAGGTGTGTACGTATTTTTTAAACTGGGCTGCTGCTTTCTTTCTTTTTCTTTCTTTATGAATGTAAGTATGTATGTATGTATTTTTTCATGCATTCATTAATTCATTTATCTATCTTATCTATCTCTCTATCTACTTATCTGTCTATCTTTCTGTCACTAATATACAATTAGATGAGTAACATTATGTTTACTAGACTACCCCCATCAACAAGATGCCCCGAGATACCCCATTGCAGTCACTCTCCATGAGCATAGTAAGATACTGTAGAAACCCCACTTCTCTTCTCTCTGTTTTACAGCCCTCCCTGTGACCCCCCTCCCACTTTATACATGCTAATCATAATGTGTGCTCTCTTTCCCTCTCCCCTAATCCCTCCATTCCCAACTATGCACCCCAGTCCCTTTCCCTTAGGTGACTGTTAGTCCATTTTTGGGTTCTGTGAATCTGGTGCTGTTTTACTCATTCAGTTTCTCTTGGTTGTCCTTCTCCAGAGGTTAGCGAAATAATTTGATACTTGTCTTTCCCAGCCTGGCTTATTTCACTGAGCATAATATCCTCTAGCTCCATCCATGTTGTTGTAAATGATAGGATTTGTTTTCTTCGTATGGCAGAATAATATTCCACTTCTCATCTTCTGATGGACACTTATCTTGGCTATTTTGAATAGTGGTGTGATAAGCATAGGGGTGCACATGTCTTTTTTAAACTTGGCTGCTGCCTTCTTTTATTTATTTATTTATTTATTCATTCATTCATTCATTTATTCATTCATAATGTTCCACTGCTAATCTTCTGATGGACACTTAGTTTTTCTATTCTGAATTGTGCTGTGATAAACATAGCTGTGCAAGTGTCTTTTTTAAACTGGGCTGCTGCATTCTAGCATTTATTTATTTATTTATTTGTTTGTTTATATTATCTACATCTATCTTACCTATCTCTGTCTTTTTATCTGTCTAATCCTCTATCATCTATATCTATCTATCTATATCTTTATCTCTTTATTTATAATTAATCTACAGTTGCACAAGTAACATTATGTTTACTCGAGTTCCCCCATCACCTAGGTACCTCCAGATACCCCATTGCTGTCACTGTCTATCAGCATAGTAAGATACTGTAGAATCACTAGTTGTCTTCTCTGTGTTTTACAGCCCTCCCCGTACCCCCCTCCCACATTATATATGCTACTTCTAATGTGCCCTTTGTGCCCCCGCCCTGATCCCTCCAATCCCACCTATCCACCCCAGTCTCGTTCCCTTTTAGTCCATTCTTGGGTTTTGTGAGACTGCTGCTGTTTTCTCCTTCAGTCTTTTCTTTGTTCTGATACACCAATGATGAGTGAAATCATTATGTATATATCTATATACATGTAGTCAAGAACCACTGATGTTTGCTAAGATGATGCAGCTCCCCATGGCTGGGCATTGCCTGCCATCTGGGGGTGGAGTCTGCAGGAGTAGCACTGTTGCTTAGAGATTCCATGATGTCACAGTGGTGCCTCTTTCCTAGAGACAGAATGTGTATGCTGAGAGGAGCAGCTGTGATTCCGGTGAGGTGGATGCTGACCAACTTGACAGCATCAGGGAAAATGGAATCCAGAGCCAGGGTACTGTGTGTTTCTTTTAGTATGGTGTCAGTACTAAACAGTTACATGAGCAACATTATGGTTACTAGACTACCCCCATTATCAAGTCCCCACCACATAGCCTATAAGAGTCAATGTCCATTAGCCCAGGAATATGCTGTAGAAGCGCTACTAATCTTCACTGTGTTATACTGCCTTGCCCATGCCTGCCCCCTGCCCACATTATGTGTGCTACTCCTAGTGCCCCATTTTCCCTCTCTTCCCTCCTTTCCAACCCATCCTCCTCAGTCACATTCCCTTTTGTAACCGTGAGTCCATTCTTGGGTTCTGTGAGGCTGCTGCTATCTTGTTCCTTCACTCTTTTTCTTTTTTCTCATACTGTACAGGTGAGTGAAATCATTTGACTCTTTTCTTTCACTGCATGGCTGATTTCACTGAGCATAATACCCTCTAGCTCTGTCCATGTTGTTGCAAATGGTAGGATTTGTTTTCTTCATATGGCTGAATAATATTCCACTGTTCATCTACTGATGGACACTTATCTTGGTTATTGTGTATAGTGCTGTGACAAACATAGGGGTGCACATGTCTTTTCTAAACTGGTCTGCTGCATTCTATTATTAATTTATCTATCTATCTATCTATCTATCTATCTATCTATCTATCTATCTATCTATCATTAATCTACAATTACATGGGTAACATTATGTTTACTAGACTCCCCCCATCACCAATTTACCAAAGTGTAAGGGACTGGGAAGGCTGGCTGGGAAGGGAAGGAGAAGGGTGGAAAGGGGGCAGTACGATTAGCTCACATAATGTAGGGGAGAGGTCCCACGGGGAAGTCAGTATAGTACAGAGAAGTGAAGTAGTGATACTATAGCATCTTACTATGCTGATGGACAGTGACTTTATTGGGGTATGTGGGGGGACTTGATGATTTGGATAGTCTAGTTACCATAATGTTGCTCATATAATTGTAGTTTGGTTATTGTGAATAGTGCTGTGGTAATCATAGGGGTGCCCATGTCTTTTGTAAACTGTGCTGCTTCTTTTCTTTTCTTTCTTTTCTTTTCTTTCTTTCTTTCTTTCTTTCTTTCTTTCTTTCTTTCTTTCTTTCTTTCTTTCTTTCTTTCTTTCTTTCTTTCTTCCTTCCTTCCTTCCTTCCTTCCTTCCTTCCTTCCTTCCTTCCTTCCTTCCTTCCCTTCCTTTCCCTTCCTTTCCTTTCCTTTCCTTTCCTTTCCTTTCCTTTCTTCCTTCCTCTTTTCTTTCTCTTCCTTTCTTTCCTTTCTTTCTTTCTTCTTTCTTGTCTCTCTCTCTCTCCTTTCCTTTCCTTCCTTCCTTCCTTTCTTCCTTTCTTTCCTTTCTTTTTCTTTCTCTTTCTTTCTTTCTATAGGAATGCATGTATGTATTTATTCAATCATATATTTTCTGTCTATGTATCTATCTATATTTCTGTCTATGTATCTTTGTCATTGATGTACAATTACATGAGTAACATTATGTTCACTAAACTACCCCTCCATGAAGATGCCCCAAGATACCCTTTGCACTCACTGTCCATGAGCATAGTAAGACACTGTAGCATCACTACTTGTCTTCCGTGTTGTACAGCCCTCTCTGTGACCCCACTCCCATGTTGTATATGCTAATCATAATGTGCGCTTTCTTTCCCTGTCCCCTTATCTCTCCTTTCCAAACTATCCAGTCCAGTCCCTTTCCCTTTGGTAACTGTTAGTCCATTCTTGGGTTCTGTGAATCTGGTGCTGTTTTGCTCAGTTAGTTTCTCTTGGTTCTCAATTCTGCAGAAGTTAGTGAAATCATTTGATACTTGTCTTCCTGTGCCTGGCTTATTTCACAGAGCATAATACCCTCTAGCTCCGGCCATGCTGTTGTCAATGGTAGGATTTGTTTGTTTTGTATGGCTAAATAATATTGCACTGTTCATCTTCTGATGGACACTTATCTTGGCTATTGTGAATAGTGCTGTGATAAACATAGGGTTGCACATGTCTTTTATAAACTGGTCTGCTGCATTCTATTATTTATTTTTTATGTATGTATGTATGTATGTATACATTTATGTCCTTACTTATTGTTTGTTTATTTATTATTAGTCTGCAACTACATGAGTAAAATTATGTTTACTAGACTCCCCCCATGACCAATTTTCGAAATGGTAAGGGGCTACGAGTCTGGTTGGGAAGGGAGGGAGAAGGGTGGACAGGGGGCATTACGATTAGCTCACATAATGTGTGGGGAGGTCCCACGGGGAAGTCAGTATAGTACAGAGAGTTCAAGTAGTGATTCTATAGCATCTTGCTATGCTGATGGACAGTGACTGTAATGGGGTATGTGGGGGGACTTGATCTGGGGTGTGTAGTAACCATAATGTAGCTCATATAATTGTAGATTGGTTACTGTGAATAGTACTGTGATAAACATAGGGGTGCACATATCTTTTTTAAAGTGAGCTGCTCCTTTCTCTTTCTTTCTTCTTTCTTTCTTCCTTCCTTCCTTCTTTCCTTCCTTCCTTCCTTCCTTCCTTCCTTCCTTCCTTCCTTCCATCCTTTCCACATGTATGTATGTATGTAAGTTACTAGGTATGTATTTATTTACTTATTTATGCATTCATTAATTCATTTATCTATTTATTTCTCCATGCATTCATTAATTCATCTATCTATCTATCTCTCTACCTACCTAGCTGTCTATCTTTCTGTCATTAATATACAATTAGATGAGTAACATTATGTTTACTAGACTCCCCCCATCATGAAGATGCCCCCAGATACCCCATTGCAGTCACTGTTCATGTGCATAGTAAGACACTGTAGAATCACTCACTACTTGTCTTCTCTGTACTGTACAGCCCTCCCTGTGGCCCCCCTCCCACGTTATACATGCTAATCATAATGCATGCCTTCTTTCCTTCTCCCCTTATCCCTGCAATCCCAACTGTTCAGCCCAGTCCCTGTCCATTTAGTAACTGTTAGTCCATTCTTGGGTTCTGTTAATCGGGGGCTCTTTTGCTAATTCAGTTTTTCTTAGTTCTCCTCCAGATGTTACTGAAATCATTTGATATTTGTATTTTCTGTGTGGCTTATTTCACTGAGCATAATACCCTCTAGCTACATCCATGTTGTTGTAAATGGTAGGATTTGTTCTTTAATTATGGCTGAATAATATTGCACTGTTCATCTGATGGACACTTAGCTTGGCTATTGTGAATAGTGCTGTGATAAACATAGTGGTGCACACGTCTTTTTAAAACTGGATTGCTGCTTTCTTTCTTTCTTTATGTATGTATGTATGTAAATATGTATTTATTTATTCATGCATTCATTAATTCATTTATGTATACACTCATACATTCATTAATTCATTTATGTATGTATGTATGTATGTATGTATGTATCTACGTATCTATCTATCTATGTATCTGTCTATCTATCTATCTAATCTATCTATCATTATTCTCCAATTACATGGGCAACATTATGTTTACTAGACTCCCCCCATCACCAATTTACCAAAGGGTAAGGGACTAGGAAGGCTGGTTGCTAAGGGAGGCAGAAGGGTGGAAAGGGGGCATTAAGATTAGCTCACATAATGTGGGAGGAGTTCCACGGGGAAGTCAGTGTAGTACAGAGAAGTCAAGTAGTGATTCTATAGTATACGCTGATCGACAGTCACTGTAATGGGGTATGTGGGGGGGACTTGATGATCTGGGGAGTCTACTAACCATAATGTTGCTCATATAATTGTTGATTAATGATAGTGAAAAAAAAAACCCGCGTATTCCTGACTAGATAACGATGAGACCCAGGAAAAAAGAAAGATCAGAGGTGAGGTTTGCAGCAGCGTGAGCTTGTGGCGGGTATTCCACTGCTCCCAACAAGCTGCTGCGCTCTCCGGGTTGGACCGCAGAGCTTCCCCGGCCTCCCCCATCTGGCAGCGCGCCGCGGTGACCCCGGGGTCATTTTCCCAAGGCGCCTGTGCAGGGGCCCCGCCGGCCCTCGGCCCCTGAGCGCGCTTGCTCCTTCCCGCCCTCGGTACCCTGAGGCCGCTTGGCTGCTGAACCGTCGCCGCCGGGGCCCGCCTTCAGGGCATCCTCGGGCAACTTCTGGGCTGGGGACCACCGTGTGCAGGCGGCTGGGGCTGCTGGGATGAGCGAGGCGGGCGCAGGCGCAGGCTCGGGAGGCGCTAGAGGGTAGGCCTCCTGCCCGGGTTCACCCAGACGAACGCTCCTCCCTCCACAGAAAGGGGTGAACCGCCCGCCACCACCGACGCCGCACCGCCGCTGCCACCACCGAAGTTCCCTGAAGGCCTTCGCCCAGCGGAAGGGTACAGCCAGAGGGGCGGCCCTGCGAGAGCGGCCGCTGACAGCTCCCCGCGCCCGGTGTGCCCACCCCTCGCCGCCGCCTGGCTCTGCCCCGGGGCGCCCTTGGCCCCACCCATGCCCAACGCCCGTGCCCAATGCCCGAGCGGCGAGCCTGCAATTGTAAGTTTTTTTTTTGTCTTGCATAAGGGTTTTTACTCAGCATGTCTGTGAGATTCAATCATCTTATATTGGTGATTCAGTCCTTTCCATTGATGAGTTGTATTTCATCAACCACAGATTTTTTAGAAAGTCTGTTTTTAGTTTTGCCTACTATGAATAAAGTCTCTGAGAAGGTTTGTATATAGGTCTTTTTGTAAGCATAAGCACCCATTTTCATTTGAGTAAAAGCCTGCAAGTGGAATTGCTGGGCCATAAGCTCAGTATGTTTTTAAGTTTATCCAAACTGCCAGATCTTTTTCCCAAATTGGTATACCATTTTACATGCCCACCAGTTTGATCAACAGTTGAGGTCTGGCAGTGTCAGTTTTTTTTTAATTTTAATCATTCTAACATAATTGTGATGTCACAATGTTATTTTAATTTGCTTTTATTTGATGACCAATGTTGCTGAATGTTTTTCCATGGACTCATTGGCCATTTGTATCTCTTCTTTTATGAAACGTCTCTTCACTTTTCTTCATTTTTTAATTCAATTTACAATTTTTTTATATTTTGGTATCATTCATCTACAATTACATGAAGGACATTATGTTTACTAGGCTCCCCCGTTCACCAAGTTCTCCCCACATCCGCCTTCACAGTCACTGTCCATCAGCATAGTAAGATGCTGTAAAGTCACTATTTGTCTTCTCTGTGATATACAGCCCTCTCTGTGACCACCCTCCCACATTATACATGCTAATCATAATGCACACTTTCTTTCCCTCTCCCCTTATCCCTCCAGTCCCAACTATCCACACCAGTCCCTTTCCCTTTCATAAGTGTTAGTCCATCCTTGGCTTCTATGAATCTGGTGCTATTTTGCTAGTTCGGTTTCTCTTGGTTCTCCTTCTGAGGGGTTAGTGAAATCATTTGATACTTGTCTTTCTCCACCTGGCTTATTTCACTGTGGATATTACCCTCTAGCTCCATCCATGTTGTTGTAAATGGTAGGATTTTTTCTTTTGTTTTCGCTGAATAATATTGCACTGTTCATCTTCTGATGGACACTTAGCTTGGCTATTGTAAATAGTGTTAAACATAGGGGTGCACATGTCTTTTCTAAACTGGGCTGCTGCATTTCATTATGTATATTTTATGTATGTAGGTATGTATTCATTTACATACTTACTTATTTATTCTTTATTCATTTATCATGAGTCTACAACTACATTAGTAACATTATGTTTAGTAGACTCCCTCCATCACCAATTTACCAAAGGTTAAGGGACTAGGAAGGCTGGTTGTGAAGGGAGGGAGAAGCGTGGAAAGGGGTCATTACGATTAGCTCACGTACTGTCGGGGGTAGGTCCCACGAGGAAGTCTGTATAGTAGGGAGAAGTCAAGTAGTGGTACTACAGCATCTTACTATGCTGATAGACAGTGACTGTAATGAGGTATGTTGGCAGAAGTTGATGATCTGAAAAGTCTACTAACCATAATCTTGCTTAAGACCTTGATGCTGGCCTCCTGTGTTTTCTTGGAATAACTGCAGGGTGGCCGCCAAACGTCACAGTAGTATATCCTGAAGGGCCAGAAGGTAGGAGCATCTCACCGGGGAGTTCCATTTTATCATTATGGCCAGTGCATGTGCCTCCAGTAGCACTAAACATGGACCCCTCAGTAAGTGCATGGGGAAGAAGTAAAAGTCTGTTATACTAGACCTGGAAGGGGCCCCCTACCTGCTACAGTCCTATCTCAAGTCCACTCCCTTTCATCCATCCTACCTGATGGACAAGATTTGCCTATGTTGGTGGCGTTCAAACATGTCTCTTAGAGCCCTTAAACTCTCTGTGGATTGGGAATTTCCTCTGGCTTGAGGTTTATTAGGAACCTACTCTGGCTTGAGGATTATTGTAATGTTTGTTACCTGTATCAAAATCTTGCTGTATCTTAATGTGTATTATCTCTAAGTTGTTGTTATCCTCTTTTGGTATTGTGGAATCTGGTTACAGTGCCACAGCTGTCTGACACAGGGACTGTTGCAGGTGACTTTAAGCATGTAGACTGTAAGGTGAGAACAGTGGAACAGTGGAGTGTGGGGAAGCTGGGGTTTCTATGGCTAAGATCCTCACTGAACTTAAACTACTTTATGATGTAACTGACTGTTGCTAGGCTATGGCTACAACAGACAAACCAGAAAGGGAGCCCTGAACCCTGTAGACATGTTAACACATATGGTTGCCTCCCCTATACAACTGCAAGTAGAAACCAAGGAAGAATCACTGAAGCCAAGGTTTGGCCACCAGAATAAACCCTTGCTGTGAGCGCCAACTGCACTGAACCCCGGACACTCCATTGAGTGAACATGGCCTTCGACATCTCGATACATGGACCAATGATGGATGGCTCTCCTGGCACCTTGGGGTCAACCCTGGCAGCTGGCCTCCTGTGTGTTCCTGGAACAACACCAGGGTGGCTGCCAAAGGTCACGGTGGTATATCCTGAACAGCCAGAAGTTAGGGGCATCTTTCTGGGGCATCTTGTTTTATCATTATGGCAGTGCATGTACCACCAGCAGCACTATATATATATAAAACGTTCATTAACCCCACAGGGAAGAAGTAAAAGTGTGGCATACTAGACCTGGAAGGGACGCCCTTCCAACCACAGACCTATCACAGGACCACTCTCTTTCATGAATAGTGGACAAGATTTGAGTATGCTGGTGGCATTAAAACATGTCTCTTGTGGCCCCTAAAAGCTGTGTGGATTGGGAACTTGGGAACTTCCTCTGGCTTGAGAATGATTAGAGCTTTTGTTGTGAGGAACCTCCTCTGGCTTGAGGAGTATCATAACTTTTGTTATCTGTATCATCATCAAGCTGTGTCTTACCTTTTATTATCTCTAAGTGTTGTTATGCTCTGTTGCTATTGTGGAATCTGGTTACCGTGCTCCAGCTTTGTCGCACAGGGACCGTTGCGGAAGATTGAAAGTGTGTAGACTGTAAGGCGAGAATACTGGAGGGGCGGAGTTTGGGGAAGTTGGGCTTCCTATGTCCAGGATTTTCAACGAGCCTAAACCACTTTATGATGTAACTGCCTGTTGCTAGGCTATGGCTACAACAGACAGACCCGAACTAGAGCCTTGAGCCTCACAGACATGTCAACACCTATGTCTGCCTCCCCTATACAACTCGAAGTACAAACCAAGGAAGAATCAATGAATACCGAGTTTCAGTCACCAGAGTAACATCGTGTCTGCCACCACCAACTTTACTGAACCTCCGTGACTCCATGGATCGGGCATGGACTTTGACCTTTGGATACATGGCCCCACGATGACTGGCTCTACTGGCACCTTGAGGACAAGACCTTGAAACTGGCCTGTGTATTCTTGCAACAACAGCAGGGTGGCCAGAAAACATCACAGTTCTATATCCTGAAGGGGCAGAAGGTAGGAGCATCTCACTGGGGAGTTTGAGAATGATTAGAGCTTTTGTTGTGAGGAACCTCCTCTGGCTTGAGGAGTATCATAACTTTTGTTATCTGTATCATCATCAAGCTGTGTCTTACCTTTTATTATCTTTTATTATGGCCAATGCATGCACCTCCAGTGGCACTAAACACGGACCCCTAAGTAAGTGCATGGGAAAGAAGTAAAAGTATATTATACTAGACATGGAAGGGGCCCCCTACCTGCTATAGTCGTATCTCACGTCCACTCCCTTTCATCCATCCTACCTGATGGACAAGTTTTGCCTATGTTGTTGGCATTCAAACATGAGTCTTAGGGCCCTTAAAGTCTTTGTGGATTAGGAATTTTCTCTGGCTTGAGGGTTATTGTAATGTTTGTTACCTGTATCAAAATGTTGCTGTATCTTAATATGTATTATCTCTAAGTTTTTGTTATCCTCTTTTGGTATTGTGGAATCTGGTTACAGTGCCACAGCTGTCTGGCACAGGGACCATTGCGGGTGACTTTAAGCATGTAGACTGTAAGGCGAGAACACTGGAAGGGTTCAGTGTGGGGAAGCTGGGGTTTCTATGGCCAAGATCCTCACTGAACTTAAAGTAGTTTATGATGTAACTGACTGTTGCTAGGCTACGGCTACAACAGACAGACCAGAAAGGAAACCCTGAGCCCTGTAGACATGTTAGCACATATGGCTGCCTCCCTATACAACTGCAATTAGAAACCAAAGAAGAATCACTGAAGCCAAGGTTTGGCCACCAGGATAAACCCTTGCTGTGATCACCAACTGCACTGTACCCCTGAGTCTCCATTGAGTGCACATGGCCTTGGGCATTTCAATATATGGACTAATGATGGATGGCTCTCCTGGCACCTTGGGGTCAACCCTGGCAGCTGGCCTCCTGTGTGTTCCTGTAACAACACCAGGGTGGCTGCCAAAGGTCACTGTAATATGTCCTGAACTGCCAGAAATTAGGAGCATCTTTCTGGGGAATTTTGTTTTATCATTATGGCAGTGTGTGCACCAGCAGCAGTACTATATATATAACCTTCATCAACCCCACAGGGAAGAAGTAAAAGTATGGCATGCTAGACCTGGAAGGTATGCCCTTCCAGCCACAGACCTATCACAGGACCACTCTCTTTCATGAATAGTGGACAAGATTTTCCTATGTTGGTGGCATTAATCATGTCTCTTAGAGCCCTTAAAGTCTTTGTGAATTCGGAATTTCCTCTGGCTTGAGGTTTGTTATAACTTTTGTTATTAGGAACCTACTCTGGTTTGAGGATTATTGTAATGTTTGTTACTTGTATCAAAATCTTACTGTATCTTAACATGTATTATCTCTCAGTTGTTATCCTCTTTTGGTGTAGTGGCATCTGGTTACAGTGCCGCAGCTGTCTGGCACAGGGACCAGTGCGGGTGACTTTAAGCATGTAGACTGTAAGGCGAGAACCCTGGAGGGGTAGAGTGTATGGAAGCTGGGGTTTCTATGGCCAAGATCCTCACTGAACTTAAACTGCTTTATTATGTAACTGACTGTTGC